GGAGGTTGTGTTTGTGTCTGTCTGGAGGTTGTATTAGTGTCTGTCTGGAGGTTGTATCAGTGTCTGGAAGCTGTGTCTATCTCTTTCCAGAAACTGTGTCTGTGTCTGCCTGGAAGCTGTGTACCAATGGTCCTGATTTTCCAGTTGCAGAGAAGACAAGAAGAATATTGAGCAAATGATGTCAACCCAGTGAGAGTTTGGAAATCAGATTCCTGCCAGAGATTGTGCTCATGTCTGTCTTGCATACATCATCCACACTTGCACCCACCCTGTGAGGGAGAGCACAGAATCAATGATGATTCCACATATCTCTGCAGTAAATGTTTATTCTATATGCAAACTTTTCAAGGAAATTCTCTGCCAGTAAAGGTTGGCAGGTGTGCGGCATATTGTTCACATGCGCACACTTCCTCAGAGTCCATTGTTTTGCTGAGAAAATGCTGCTGGCTCTTATAGGTTCAACAAGCATTTTATAGCAACCAGCTCTCTACGCAGACTTTTAAACGTTGAAGAATTATTAAAGAGTGAAGTGTGAAAAGGATATTTCTCTGGAATCCTCTCATTCTACTAGCTATCATGAGAAAGGTACTGGACAACACATTCTTTTATTCATTTGTGGAACATAGACATCTTTGGTTGGGCCAGTGTTTATTGGCCATCACTAATTGCCCTGAGAAGGTGGTGGTGAACTGCCTTCTTGAATTGATGCAATCCATTTGGTTTAGGTAGACTCATAATGCCATTAGGGAGGGAGTTCCAGGAATTTGACTCAGCAACGCAAATAATATTTAGGTGATATATTTCCAAGTTAGGTAGGTGAGAGACTTGGAAAGAAACTTGCAGGTGGTTTTCCCATGTATCTGTTGAGCCTGTCCTTCTAGATGATATTAGCCTTGGTTTTGGTAAGTTCCAAGGAATTTGGTGAATTTCTGTAGTATGTCTTGTAGGTGGCATATACTGCTTCTACTAAGTGTTGGTAATGGAGGGAGTGAATGTTTGTGGATGTGGTGTCAGTCAAGTGGGCAGCTTTGTCCTGGATGGTGTCAAGCTTCTTAAATGTTGTTGAAGCTGCACTTATCCAGACAGGTGTGAAATATTCCATCAGACTCCTGACTTGTGTTTTAGAGATGGTGAGCAGGCTTGGAGAATTAAGAAGTGAGTTACCCACTGCAGGTTTCCTAGCATCTGACCTGCTGTTGTAGCCACTGTGTTTAATGGCTAGGCAAGTTCATTTTCTGGTCATTGGTAACTCCCAGGATGTAGAGAGTGGGAGATTCAGTGATGGTAGTGCCATTGAAAGTCAAAGGATAATGGCTAGATTCTCTCTTGTTGCAGATGGTCATTGCCTTGCATTTGTGTGGTGTGATGTTATTTGCCACTGCTCAGCTCCAACCTGGTTATCGTCCTGATGTTTCTACATTTGGACAGCTTCACTAATGGAGAAGTTGCACAATATCAGCACATTTGCACAACCATCAGCGAACATTCCCATGTCAGACTTTATTACAGAGGGAAGTTTATTGATGTAGAAGCTGAAGATGGTTGGGCCTGTACACCACCCTGAAAAACTAGGCCTTATGTGACATAGTGGTAGTGTCCTTACATCTGATCCAGGAGGCCTGGGTTCAAGTCCCACTTGCTCCGGAGATGTTTGCTACCATACATGAGCAGATTGATTAGAAAAATACCTGTTCTGGAGAACTCTTTCAGAGATGTTCTGGAGCTGAGATTGCTGACCTCCAACAACCACAACAATCTTTCTTTCTACTAGTGGGGAGTTTTCTGCCTGAATCCCCTTACAGTAGTTTGGCTAGGGTTTCTTGATGACACAACTGCTCAAATAGGGCCTTGATGTCAAGGGGAGTCACTCTCACTTCATCTCTGGATCCAGTCCTTTTGTTCACGTTTGACCAAGTCTGCAGTGAGTATAAAATGGGCATCACTGATCAGGTTATTTCCTTGCATATGCTGCTTCATAGCAGTGTTGATGACACCTTCCATCAATTTACAGATGATAGACAGTAAATTGATGAGCAGTAATTGGCCGGGTTGGATTTGTCCAGCTTTTTGTGTACAGGATATAACTAGACAATTTTCCACATTGCCAGATAGATGCCGTGTTGTAGTTATGCAGGAACAACCTGGCTAGAGTGCGGCAAATTCTGGTGCACATGTTTTCAATGTATCGTCAGAATATTATCAGGACCCATAACTTTTGGGCTGTCCAATACCTCCAGTCGTTTCTTGATATTGTATGGAATGAATTGAATTGGTGGAGGATTGGCACTTCTGATGCTGGAGATATCTGGAGAAAGCTGAGATGGATCATCCAGCCAGCACCTCTGGCTGAAGATTATCGCAAAAGCTTCAGCTTTATCTTTTGCATTAATGTGTGATCTCCCTGTCATTGAAAATGTGGAATATTTGTTCTGCCTCCTCCAGCAAACTGTTTAACTATCCACCACTGGATCTGGCGGACTGCTGAGCTTAGATTTGTTACATTGGCTGGGGAGTTGTTTGGCCGTGTATTTCACTTCCTGCTTGTGCTGTTTGGTCCACAAGTAGTCTTGGTTTGTAGCTTCACCAGGTCACCCCTAATTTTTAGGTCAGAAGTCAGATGACACCAGGTTATAGACCAACAGATTTATTTGAAATCACGAGCTTTCAAAGCATTATCCCTTTGTCAGGTGAAATGTCAGAGAAGCGCACAGGCATAGAATGTATAGGCAGAGAGATCAATGGGCAGAGAAATCAAAAAATCATACAAATGGTCAGAAATCACACAACACCAGCTTATAGTCCAACAGGTTTATTTGAAAACACAAGCTTTCAGAGCCTCACTCCTTCTTCGGGTGTTAGTGAGGTTGATAGGCCCCATAATAGGTCTCTGCAGGTGATCAAGAGTGTCAGATGATGTGAGTAAAGTGTCAACAGCTGTATAGAAAGTGAAGAGATGACCTATAATCCAATTAAATGAGGCAGAGAGATAATTACAAAAAATTAAAAATAAATTGGTGCTGGAGACAAACCAAATGACTGGAATAACGTGATAGGTATAAGAGTCACATGCCGAGGGTCTAACCAAAGTAACAAGGAATCCAAAACTGTACAAGCTAACTAAAGTAGAGATCATTACAATTTATCAAGGTGATGGTGTCAAAACAGGACAGTAAGGAAGATTTTACACATATAGAACAGTGTAGTGGGGTCACATGTAGCGCGACATACACCCAAGATCACAGTTGAGGACATCATCATGAGTACGGATCTTGACTATCAGTTTCTGTTCAACGTTTCTGTGTTGTTGTGTACCTCAAAGTCTGCCTTGGAGGATGCTTACCTGAATATCCGATGCTGAATGCCCTTGACCACTGAAGTGTTCCCCGACTAGGAGGGAACATCCCTGTCTGGCGATTGTTGTGTGGTGCCCATTCATCCGTTGTTGTAGTAGAGCGGAGCAGAGAAACTACGCCATGTTCTTCACAGCCTTCAACACTGTATCGATGATGATGAGCATTTTGCCAAGATCATCCTACGTGCCCACTTCTTGCCTTCAAACAACTGCCAAACCTTAAACCTTAAATTGTTCACAGAAAACTACCCAGCCTTCAGCACGACATCGACCAGCACACCACATAACCCTGCCATGGAAACCACTGCAAGACCTGGCAGATCATTGACATGGATACTACCATCACACATGGATTCATGGCAGATACTCATCCGACTTGGCCAATGTTGTCTATCTCATACATTGGAGGCAAGAATACCGTAAGGCATGGTATATTGGCGAGACCATGCAGACGCTATGACAACGGATGAATGGACACCGCGCAACAATTGTCATACAGGAATGTTCCCTCGCAGTTGGGAACACTTCAGCGTTTAAGGACATTCAGCCTCCGATCTTTGGGGAGAATGGGAGATATGCTGAGCCATGAGGTTGCTGATTGTGTTGGAAGGCAGTTCTACTGCTGCTGATGACTACAGCACCTGATGAATCCCCAGTTTTGAGCTGCTAGATCTGTTCAATATCTGTCAAATTTAGTATGATTGTAGTCTCATATAATAGGATGGAGGGCATCCTCAATTTGAAGATGGGACTTTGTCTACAAGAGGACTGTGTGGTGGTCACCCTAACCAAAACTGTCACGGACAGGTACATGTGTGACAGATTGGCTTGGTGAGGACAAGGTCAGCAAGTTTTTGCCCTCTTGTTGTTCCCCTGACCACCTGCTGCACACCTGCAGGAAACATTTATTTTTTACATTGCTGATCCAGTCCAAATATGTCTATGACATTTTTAGCCTGTGCCAACATGATTGTAAGATTATTTGAAACTGGAAGAGGTGTGTAAACCGATGACAAATGTGTGATGATGTACAAGATTGAAAACTGAAGTGCATGAAGTTCAGATAAAGACTTTTATTCTCTCATCACAGTGATTATGATTTAAATACAGATGTTTTGGTAAAATTAAGATTTTGCATTCAATAGGTTCAACATGTCTACAGATATGAAACATACCAGCAGAAAATATTCTAATGTGTCCTAATCTCTCAATTTGCTAAAAGTTCAGCAATATTGCTAAACCACACTCCTCTCCTTTTCAAATGATCAAATCTCAGGTCAAGTGCAGATAGTGAGTGATCATTTAGCAAATTAATGAATAAAAGCAAAAGCAAAATTCTGTGGATGGTGGAGATCTAAAACTCAGACAGATGCTGCCAGACTTGCTGAATTTCTCCAGAATATTCAGTTTATCATGAATAATAGTGATTGATATTATTATACATCCCCTGTAATCATGACAAGTTATTTGAAGAACTTAAGAGGTCCATTTCATAACACTTCAGTGACATGCAATCAAAACAGGCATTCAATTGATATTTTAGCATGAATTAAAATTATAATTCACAGTTATCACAAAAAGAGCTCAGTAAATGTTTTCTGAATTCTGAAGAAGGGTCCCGAACTGAAATGTTAACTTTCCTGCTCCTCTGATGCTGCCTGACTTGCTCTGTTCCTCCAGCTCCACATTTTGATATCTCTGATTCCAGCATCTGCAGTTCTTGCTTTCTTAGTAAATGTTGATTTTACATTATATAAAACAGTGCTCATAATAGAAGGCAGTATTTAAACATTTAACCAATACTAAATGATAGAAATAGACTAAACAAATACAGTACAAAAATAGTAACTATATGTCAATTTTCTGTCTGTTCATTAAGCCTGCATATTTTAATTAGAATTAGAATTTAGAATTAGGTTTTATTGTCACATGTATTCAAGTACAGGGATACAGGATTACAGTGATTAGTGGTCAAAGTCACCATTCTCCAGTGCCATCTTAGGTACAAAGGTACCTAGATACAAAATCTTAGGTGTAGAGTAGAAAAGTAAGGAAATAAAGTTAAAAGGTCAACATTACGGTCTTTCTTAGATGCTTAGCCATGGACTTGGAGCCAGGCTCTTCCACTCCAACGCTAAGACCAGGAGCACAAACTCAACTCCTTCTGCCACTGGGAATAAACTTTGTCTCCAACACACCGGACACCTAAATGCTGTCCAAGCTCTCCACAGAAGGTAAGTAAGATTTAAATATAAAAATAAAAAAGAAAGAACAAAGAAAATTAAAAGCATGTGGAGCAGTTGAGTTTTGGGCTCAGGACCCACAGGCTGCATTGCTACTCCATTGCCACTTTGAGCAGAAGTGTCAAATCTTGAGTTATATAGTGATGTACATTATGATTCACAGAAAAGAATATTCAACAGTAATTTAAAGTGAAACATATAAAGTATGATACATTTATTTGCTATTTGTTTTTAAATTATTAAAAATAAATGCTGTTCTCATGCTGTAACAAAACATTCAAATTGTAACCTAAAATGAAGTGCCATTGTTTTCAAAGAGTATAGTATTCTGATGAAAACTCATCAGATAACTGTTCAAACAAAATACATATTATTCCCTAAGTGCAGTTTAGCCAATCATTTGGCCTCAGAATGCGGACAGTGCGTTTGTTCCTGTAGTCATATTCATACTGTGTAGCTCCATTAGATAAGTAGAAGTAGCCTGGAGATTAAAAAAAAACAAAACTTTAAAATATTTTAAAATGTAGTAATGTGGCACAAAATATAAATCAAAACTAAACTATCATAGTTTTTCAAAATATTGGATATTCCATTTCTCCAGTTTATTTTAGAACTCACCGTAATTTTGAAATGCTGACTCTACTTCGTTTCCAATACCTGGAAAGTCATCTTCTATTCTTCTTGGGTAGCCTCTGTCCATTTGCTTTCTCCTTGAATTATAACTAAACACAAGAGAATAAGATAATACTGAAATAAAAGAATATTAAAAGGTGCCCATCTTGTCAATTATTTTCTTTTCAGTATTTATGTCCTTTTCATATATCATTAACATTATTAAAATAGTAAAACTATTAATTTTATTTTTCCTAGTATAGATTACACTTCAAAGAAGTTTTAGAGAAACTAAAGGTAAAGTTGCCATAGTCTTACTATAGGTCTGCTGTCTCATTAGGGAGAGACAGTTGGTGGTGGTTTAACCTAAGGGTCAACACATATCAGGAGAGGGGAGAAGTTGAGAAAAAGAATCCTTAATTAATTAAACCCATGCTGTTGGCATTAGTCTGCATTGCAAATCAATCATCCAATCAACTATAGAGATAACAAGGTGTAGAGCTGGATGAACACAGCAGGCCAAGCAGCATCAGAGGACCCCACTTTTAGACATGCTATTTAGATTCATAGGAGTTTTGATTTATTACTGAGGAATGTGGAATTGCATACTAATACTAATACTTACCTCCAATACTCATTTCCAACAAAGAATAATACTCTCCTTCTTTCCTTGACGTATAGGGCGGCATCTACGTGTGTAACATATCTGGGAAATCCAAAAGCTCTGATATTCCTAGGATAACCTGCCAAAGTCCTGAAGCCTCGAATTAGCCAGTAATTTGATCCTAGGGTGTTTTAACAGAGATTTTAATCAACAGTGAAGAGAAAGGATAAGACTTCAGAATGTTTAAGAAATATTCAGTAAGTTAACAAATGCTTTGCAGAAAATGCAGGAATGGAAAGCAAGAACTGTATCTTCAGGTTTCCATTCTCCATTCTGCACTCATAAGTCAAACAAAGGAAGAAACTGAAATCCATTTTTTTTTTGGCAAATTTTCATGGGAAGCTTAATTTTTGTCTACGATCTGAACTGAACATGCAGTGCTCTAGGACAGTATGTAAATCATGTGTAAGATGTAGTAAAAAAATTCTAGAACCTTTGAAAAGCACCACCACATCTTTGTCCTTGAATTCAACAGCAGCGTCTATTGACTGAATGTTTGGATTAATATATTTGATTGGAACCGATGTTACATGGCGATGTCGAGAGTGCTTCCGCCAAATGTTTCTAAACAATGAGAAGGTTTATTTGATTATTAAAAACATTTTTTTAAATCAAGAATCTAGACTGGTAGAATGTAAAGTAGTCTCTGGTAATCAAATCTACAGAAATACCAGCACTAAGGCTAATCTGAAATTTGTAAAAAAGAGCCCGTGTGCAATTTACAAATGTAACTATCAATCTTAAAATACTTATTTTAGTAGCAACTTTTTAAAAACAAATCTACAATTCAAGTCTACTTTGTGCAATTTGGTGCAAATGCTGTGCATATTTTTTACTGATATAATCTCAGAAAATCAAATCCATCAAGATCCTGAAGTGTTGGAAGCTGAAGGGGTGACCTTATAGAGGTTTACAAAATCATGAGGGGTATGGATAGGGTGAATACCTATGGTATTTTTTTCTAGGGTGTGAGGGTCCAAAATTAGAGGGCATAGTTTAAGGTGAGAGGGGAGAGATTTAAAAAGGACCTGAGGGGTGAGGTTTCACGCAGAGAGGGGTGCATGTATGGAACATGCTACCAAAGGAAGTGGTGGAGGTAGGTACAATTACAACATTTAAAAGGCATCTGGGTACATGAATAGGTAGGCTTCAGGGGGACATGGGCCAAATGCTGGCAAATGGGATTAGGTCAGATTGGGATATCTAGTCAGTACAGACCGACCAAGTTGGACCGAAGGGTCTGTTTCCAGGGTTTATGACTTTATTGCATAATTGCATAGCGTATTTGCAATTTGCAATTTTGGTTTCCTCTAAAATCCGATCATGGAATCACATAATTGTTATAGTGGAGAAGGAGGTATTTCAGCCCACTGAATCTGCACTGGTTCCCTGAGCATATTGGCTTAGTTTCATTCTTCTACCTTTTTCCAGTGGTGCGGTATGCTGTTTTATTTAAATAATCATTTAATACCTCCTTGAGCACCTCAATTAAAACCGCCTCCACCCTACCACACTTCAAGGCAATACATTCCAAACCCTAACAATCAGCTCTGTGTAAAAAAGCTTCTTCTCATCTTGCATTTGGTTCTTTTGCAAAGCACTTTAAAATTGCGCCACTGATTCTCAAAAGTTTCTCAGCCTTTCCCTCTCCATAGAAAAGAATCCCAACTTCTTAAATTTATCCTCGTAACTGAAAGTGATCCTATTGCACTCAGCTGCTGATAATTTGCCAGTGCTTCTATCTATTTTACTCAGAATGAGATTCCATACATAACCTGATGCAATGAGGTATTTCCCTTTATTTGCCATATCTTTTTACAGGAATACCTCATGTTTGCTTGCTGTCTCTCTAGATAGCCTCATCTGAAGTTACAAATGCAAAATGAAAAGTTAACAGCATTCTATTTTCCTTTGGTGCTGTGGACCAACACATACTAAATCATAGTGTTAATTATATAATAATTAAATAAATGATAAAATAATTTCAGCACTAATGACATTAGTGTAGTAAGCTACATTAAACATAACCAAAGCTGTTCATACCCGTTCTTAAAGAACCAAAGTTCTCCACGTAAGCTAGTAACTGCATCAAATGACAATTGAGGATCACACTTGTCCAGAGTTTTTGTTGGTTGAGGTGGTTTAGGTTGTGGTTGTGTTGGCCTTGGGTCTTGGCGAGCTCCTAAAGTACAGTAGGATAATTGTGTTTTAAAGTGGTAGGTAAATAAGAAATAATTATAAGTTTTAAAGTACTTAAGCAAAATTTACCTTTGAAGCAAACAAACAATTCTAAACTCCACAGATGCCTATTACTGAGAAAATAGTTTTAGAAATGTAAGAGAAATTGGAGAAAAAGCAAACGGACAGAGCTAAATGGATAAATGATGAAGAATTTGCAGGATGTGCTGTATGAACACCTATTATGTAAAATTCTACCATTGTTTGAATAAACTGGAAATTACTTGTAAAATGCATAAAAATTAATTCAGCATTTTAAATGCAATACAAATAATATTAATCCCAAGAAATAGTTCCCACAGTCTTTGACAGTTTACTTAGAATCCCCACAGTGTGGAAACAGGCCATTCGCCCCAACAAGTCCAGACCAACCCTCCAAAGAGCATCCCACCCAGACCCATTCCCCCACTCCATACCTGTACCCTGCATTTCCCATGGCTAACGCGCCTAACCTACACATCCCTGAACACTATGGGTAATTTACCACGGCCAATCCAATGATATATAGTGGAGGTGGATAAGAAACCGTCAGGCGCCATTGTTAAAGAGTTTGTGAGAGATTAACTCACATAGACTGAAGTAAAATAACCATTTTCAATTATTGGCTCGAATGTCCCAGTAAATAATTGCCATTTTGTTTAAAGGCCCTTTCCATACCTGATAGGCACGGTTAACACACTGATGCGTTAGTGATGTTAGTGTAATCAGAGGTTTGCCGTTTATGAGGAAGAGGATATTATACTCGTAGCCCAGTTACATTGAGACTTGACCTTCAAACCACTGGGTGTCCCGTATAAATTATCAGCAGTTGGTGAGGGCAAATATCAAGAGAAGACCCGAAATCTATCTCAAAGTATGATTCTGCACAACAGTGTAAGTGGGGGTGTTACTATCTTCTGTTGGTTATTAGGCCGCCTTTAGGAAGTCGGTTATGAATTATTCCCTCCGAATTCCCAGATAGCACCTTTGTGTCATTACACTGTTCCTCAGCAAGTGTAAGACAGGATCCTGAACTGGACAATGTTTTATATCCAAAGGATGACCAAGAGCGGTACACATTTTTAAAAAAAACATGTATAATCTATACATTGTCCAGTAAGCACAATGTTCAACATACCGTATAAAGCCTGGATCCCCCTAACGTCGTCGTCTGGGAGACGAAACCCATTGGTATTGACATAGGAATAGGTGGGAAACATCAAGGCGGATCTATCATTAGAGTGACCGAGTCCGAGAGCGTGACCAAATTCATGGGCCGCGACAAGGAACAGGTTGATTCCTGTGAAGATGGTTCAGCGACACTTATTGATCAAGCTTGTTTGAAAATGAGAAATGAATCAAAATTGTGCATGGTAAGAAATATTCCATGAGCACCCGTTTAAGCCACTTTAACATTTGTCGATTCAAAATTGAATTAAAATTTCAAAATACTGACGCCTTGTCATTTTTCCCTCCCCATGGGCTAGAATGAAACGTTAGGACATGAACAGTTAAACGTACTATCGGTTAAATCTCCCATTTCAGTACTTGGAAGCTGCTTACCGTATCTTGACAACGTCCACCTTTCATCTTCATCAAAGTGAGCATCGCCGCCGAGATTTGCTCCAGGAGCAAAAGCGTGCGCTAAAATACCGCCCTCTCCATCAAAATCGTTAAAGTCCCCGTGACCTAGGAGTAAACAGCATCCAAAGGTTAAACGGGAGGTAGAAAGTAAAACTGGAAATCGTTACTCCGGGACACGAACTAAATTGTTGAACCTACTGCCGCTTGCGAACGAAATCTTGATGTCAGCTTCTCCGGTGTAGAGCCTGACAAATGTCAGGGGGGTGACATCGCTCCAAACTTTCAAAGCCATGGAAATTACAGCGTCTACCTCTCGCTGGCTCAGTTTCAATGTATACTTTTCAATTCTGGTCGGGAAGGGAGAAATGAATGAATAGGTTATTTTTTTTTAGATGTTGTTTTCATTTGATACCTCATTGCGTCAGCCTTCCTGCTCCTCTGATGCTGCTTGGCCTGCTGTGTTCATCCAGCCTTATGCCTTGTTGTCTCAGATTCTCCAGCATCTGCAGTTCCTATTATCTCTCACCAGCAATATCTAACCTGTATGTGATTCTATTGCGGAGCCACCGAGGTGTCCTTGGAAAGAAGCTATACTGCTGAACGTCAGGTACTCCGCAGCGGGCCCGGTTCATCTCCACCAGCGTTTCACGGTTCAGAGTCCCAGTTACTTGCAGACCGAAGAATTCTTGCATTTCTTCAATCTTTCTTGTTAATCCGTTATCGCTCTTTCTCAAAGTTGTCTCTGTCATGTTGTAAAATGCCTTGAGATATTTCTAGTTAGAAAAGGAAAGCAAAGTTCACTTCAAAGTTAAATGAAGTTTTTTCACGCTTTATTTCAAATTTAATGCATGGCGAACTAAGTTTTTAGCTTAATTGATTTTAATGCACAATTACTGTTTTGTACGTTATATGTATAGTGCATCTACATATGCATTAGCTGGTGGCATATATAGTACCCGGCATTGGTTCCAGTCCTGTTCGCTAATTCCTTCCGTTGCGGAGCTTAGCGGAAGAGCTAAACATCCTGATAGATGAACTAATACAAAAAGAACGGTAATCTTAATGTAGCTCATCTTTCGATTCGAGGAGCCTTGTTATGGATTAAGTCTTACTGCACTGCTTAGGTTTTATAGACAGTTGATAGGGATCTTGCACAATCCCAGCGTGTCTAATAAGGGAAATGACCAACTCTTCTTTCAACCGGTTGTAGTGATATCACCCAGATCTCGGAGCTGGAGGCGTTTATGTACACATTCATTTTGTTGTTTAAATAATGCACGTTATATTCAGACAAAGAAATAGCAGAAGTATGAAGCATAGTACGTAACTAAAATAACATTTCCTTAACCTTAGGGAAATTTACCTTCGGTCTGATGTGTTAGCTGTATAGTAAATTTAGAAGGAAGATTTTCTTGTTAGCGAAGTTGAATTTTTTAAAAAAGCCTTTCATCAGAAGGGGCCGAACAGCCTACTCCTGTATCTGTTTCTTATGGTCTTGATATACTAACTTTTTTGTTAGAAATAGCGGTCAGCCAAATGTCCAGTTATATTTACCAAACAATTGGCATCTGGTCATTGGAAGAAATCACTTCTATGGGAACATCATCTTTGGTGTTTCCTGTAAAGTTTCAGCCAGATCTACTTTTCAGTCAAAGTTTGTCTCTTCCCATTTTTCATAAATCAGTGTAGAGTGTCCAAAGTTTGTAAGTTTGAAGCTAAATGGATTTTCAGTTATCAAGAAAATAAAAATCTAATGACATAGCTGCATTGCATGTGCTCAGCTTAGCAGCACTGCAGCAGCTTTCATGGATTGGCAATGAATACAACTGCTCATTATTTCATTATTTTTCAACTAAAATGAGTTCATAATCGTCTTTCAGAACCATCTAATGGTTCTATTTTCCAATGTGGAGGAAGTTCATGCTTTAAATAAATAGAGTAGTAGAGTCAAAGAGATGTACAGCATGGAAACAGACCCTTCAGTCCAACTTGTGCATACTGACCAAACATCCTAAATAAATTTAGTGCCATTTGCCCGCATTTGGCTCATATCCCTCTAAACCCTTCTTATTCATATGTCCATCCAGATGCCTCTTAAATGTTGTAATTGTACCAGCCTCCACCACTTCCTCTGGCAGCTCATTCTATACGCGCACCACCCTCTGTGTGAATAAGTTGCCCCTTAGATCCCTTTTAAATCTTTCCCATCTCACCTTAAACCTCTGTCCTTTAGTTTGGATTCCCCCACCCCAGGGAAAATACCTTGTCTATTTAACCTATCCATGCCCCTCATGATTTTATAAACCTGTATAAGGTCACCCCCACAGTAAGTCTATTATTTTCTCCCTGAATGCCAATGGTATGGTGAAAAAGGTCCATTCATCATCTGGTATATTTTTTGAGTGAAACACCTCACACCTGTATTTATATATTATTAATATATTGTTAATATTTTGTATAACTAAGTCGGTCTGCAGTAAAATAGTTGGTAAAAATGATACAAATGGAATAAAGCATAAAAGCATGAGTTATTATTAAAAACACAGGGCTTAATTTTCCTATTATTGGCAAAGTGTTTTTCAAGTGAGATTCATAACCTCGGTCCATTGTGGTCAACAGTGTCTTCTAAATTAATCTTCCACTCTTCAGCTCATGAATGTGCAACCAGCCTCTTTGATGTCAGCACACATGGTGCAAGACGCAGAAATGCTTGCTGCTGCTGGAACTTTGCAATGTTCATATTACTAGTGACATATTTAAAGCCCCAGATCTGTAACACTTCAAATACTGCAAACCAAGAAATGCCCATCATATTGTACTGCTGCACCATTATCCCTGAGGAAATGATTTGATTTGATTTGATTTATTATTGTCACGTGTGCTTAGCTACAGTGAAAAGTTTTGTTTTGTGAGAGGTACAGGCAGATCTTAACATACAAAGATCACAGGGTGATTGAACAGAGCAAGGAATACAAAGTTATGGCTGCAGTGAAAGTACACAAAAAGGAGGGCGCACTGTATTCTGCTGACTTGCAAAGGAGACCACAGTAATAGATGTAGCCAGAGTGGATGAGGTAGAGGCTCACCTCAGCACAGTGACCTGACTGAAGCACTCAGCACTGCAGAACGAAGGTTAATGATCTTCCATGCTATGCAGAGGGCCACTATTCACTCTAACTCTGCCACTGCATGTGCCTCTCACCAAGACTTATGTACTACAACTTTCATTGTATGCATCATGCCCATTCACCTGCTTTTTACCAGCTCTTCCTCCCAAACTATTAACTTTTTTCTGCTTTCTACACTACCTATTCTGTCACTGGGAGCACTTCATCACCTCACCTGCCCCTGCATCACCATGAATGGCAGTTGTACCTGGTCTATTACTGCCCCATCAGTCTATTGTCAATCATCAGGAAAATTTCCTGATGGAAGGTGTTACCACCAGTACTATCAAGCAGCATCTGCTCAGCAATAACCTGCTCAGTGACACCCAGTTTGGGTTGAACCAGAGTCCCTCAGCTCCAGACCTCATTACAGCCCTTAGTTCAAACATGGACAAAACAGCTGAATTCCAGAGGTGAGGTGAGAGTGACAGCCCTTGACCTCAAGGTAATATTCAACTGAGTGTGGTATCGATTAAGCCTAGCAAAAGTGGAATCAATGGGTATGAGAGGCATACTGCCCACTGGTTGGAGTCATACCTGGTGAATAGGGAAATGTTTGTGTTTGTTGGAGATCAGCCATCTCAGGTGCAGGACATCTCTGCAAGAGTTTGTCAGGTGTCTCAAGTGTCCTTGGCCAAACAATCATCAGCTGCCTCATCAATGACCATCATAAGGTCAGAGATGGAAATGTTTGCTGATGATTCCATAATGTTCAGCACCATTTGCAACTCCTCTGGTACTGAATCAGTCCCTGTTCAAATGCAAAGAGACCTGGACAATATCCAGATTTGGGCTGACAAGCGGCAAGTAACTTTCGTGCCACAAAAATACTAGGAAATGACTGTTCCCAATAAGAGACAATCTAAGCACTGCTGCTTGACATTCAAGGTGTTACCATCACTGAATCCCCCACTATCAACATCCTGGGGGTTACCATTGACCACAAACTCAACTGGACTTACTATGTAAACACAGTGGCTATCAGAACAGGTCAGAGGCTAGGAATACTACAGCGAGTAACTCACCTCCTGACTCCCTAAACCTATTGAACTATCTACAAGGCACAAATCAGGAGTGTGGTGGAATAGTCTTGGATGGGCACAGCTCCAACAACACTCAAGAAGCTTGACACCATCCAAGATAAAGCAGCCCGCTTGATTGGCATCATTCACACTGCTTTCATTCATATTCACATGCATCCACTCCCTCCACCACTGATGCGCAGGAGCAGCAATGTGTAGTATTTACAAGATGCACTGCAGAGATTCACCAAAGATTCTTAGACAGAACATTCCAAACCCATGACTATTTCCATCTAGAAGGACAAGGGCAGCAGATAAATGGGAACCACTAACTGCAAATTCCCCTCCAAGTCACTCACCATTGTGACTTGGAAATATATTGTCATTCATTTATTGTCATTGTTTCAAAATCCTGGAATTCTGTCCCTAATGGCATTGTGGGTCTACCTTCAGCAGGTGGACTACAGCTGTTCAAGAAGGCTGCTCACTGCCACCTTCTCAAGAGTAATTAGGGGCAGACACTAAATGTTCACATACCACAAATGAATGAAAAAAATCTCATTCATAATTGGCAAATGTTTCACTGGCATGGTGAATTAGCCTATTTAGCATTTATATATAAGAAAGCTTGGCCATATTTAAGTAAATATGTCTTTTCTTGCTGATATTATCTGTGTCTGTGATTTTTTTTAGCTTTTTTCTCCAGGTCATGGAAATCCCAAACTCCCTTTCATAAAGCTTTGATTCTCAGAAATTGTGTAATTTATTTCACAACTGCATTCATTCATAACTCTTCTGTTCTTGAGATGTATTGATGAAATCAGCTTATTTTTCCTTGAGCAAACTTTTTGAAATAGATTTATTTTTCCAAGCATTTTTTTCTAAACTTTCTGAACCCTCTTCACCATTCACAAACATTAATATGAAAGTGTTTGGGTATAAATTCTAGGTGATCTTAGCTTTTGACATGAAATATTTTTGTGTATGAGTAAGAGTGCGGAACCTGGCATTTCCGCTGACATACTGTCTTTTTGAGGTAGATCGAGACGTAAAAAATGGTCAATATAATGTTCATGCATCTCAAACCTTTTACTGAAAAAACTGAATTTAATTTGTTCTCCCAGAATCCACTACTTCCCTCAAGGTTCATCAGAAATCCATTCTGATGCAACAGTATTTGGAAATAATTTAGCCACCACTTTGAGGTATTAGAATGACTTTCTGAACCTGATGTCAGTTTGTGGAATGGTAGAAATTGCACTGACCCCCCTCTGCCACCATCCTCCAGAAAGTGCACACATTAGGGCCTCCTGATCTCAGTGCCTGTCAAATGGATCTTCATGGCTCATAGCAGCATCTATATTTCTATCTGGAGCCCTTCGAGTTGCCATTACTTACGTTGTTGAGAAGTGATGTTGCTCTTCATTGAACTGCAAACTTGCCCAGCATTGTCCTGCACAGCACTGCTGTGACCAGCATACCTTACAGCCCCACGCATTCCATCTCTCAAGGATCTCCTCACATTATATCATGAGCAGTCATGCACTCTCATCTTTGTGTGATCTCACATCCGTGCCTCATACTGTCCATAAATGTGATCCTTCCTTCCTCTTTTCACATTGCATTTTACATTCTCACAACTTACCACATTCTCTTCTTGCAGTAAAAGAGATCGCAAAACTGGGAAAGATGGAGAACAAGTCTTGGGAGGGGGGCAGTGGTGGTGGTGTAGCGGGGGGGTGGCCCTCTGGTGACAGGTAACTTGTTGGCAAAGCATGTGAGGAGAACATATAAAAAAGTAGTGCTGAAACATAAGCAAAATTAATTTTGAATCAATAGACCAAAGGAATGTGTTAACATTGTGATGCAATATTGTGAATTACACATTATCATTGT